TTTTTTTTTTTTCAATGAACTGAGAGACACACAAATGATGGGGAAAATATAATCCATTCGGCACTTCTCCGGATGAACAAATTAGAAAGCATGGGAATCGTGAGGATGGTCAGTAAGCTGCATCGACCACAGCAAACACTGTAAGGTTTCTGGTTAATTTTCATGCGTTTTGTGCTGTGTAACAGCAGTACAAAACGTACTGTCACAAGGTTGTCCATGTGTGTGTGTGTGTCCTACGTTTTGTTCCGCACTTTCAACTCGAGAACCACAAAAGCTAAGCGGCTGATATTTTAGTATAATTTTTCACGCTAACGTGTGACGCGGCAGATTTAAATTCAGCCTTCCCGTACGTGTGAGTAACACGCACGACCCCGTAAATGTTTTGGCGGGCAAAATTATTATCATGGGAACCACGTAAGCTAGAAGACGTGGGCATGTCTCCCGCCCACGTGCTACCCAGAAAATTTAAATTCAGCTTTCCCCTGCCCGTGGGTAACATGTGCTGCCTTGTGAAAATTTTTGAGAGGTAATTTATTATCCCGAGAACCACTGAGTCTGGGAGGCTGAAATTTTAGGACTGTGACCCCCGCCCACGAACGATATTGCAAATTCATATTCAACGTCCCGTACTCTCGGGTATCACCTACGGGCCAATGAAGATTTTGGCGAGTAAACTATTATCTCGGGAGTCACGGGAGGGTATTCACCTTCAAGGTTTCAAATTCAGTTTTCATACGCCGATGTTTGAAATTTTTAACTATTTTTCAGCGTTTCTACTGTTTTTGCACAGACTAAAGTACAAAGCAATGAAAGTCATTAATAGGCAATAGTTTGGCGGGGCTGAGTTGCAAAAAATGCATGATCGCACCGGCTAGTCTGGTGCGCACTGCTGTTTATTTTCACTGATGGCATGAAGTCACGCTGCGATCCCGCATGTGTATTTAAAAGACTGTTTAGAAAGTGTGAAAGATATGTTTGAGAAAGAAAATTGTTGGAATCAAAAATGGAATTTTTTAGGCTTGGGATGCGCATTTGAAGAGAGAAAAGAGCATTATTGTTGATTTATTCACTGGCCAGCTGCGTTCAGCTCTTACTTGCTCAAAATGCCACGCTGTGTCGAGCAGGTTGGACTGTTGCCGCCTCTCTTAAATTCCAACATATTTTTTGCAGAACTTCTGGACGACGCTGGGTTTTTTCGTCAAATTTTAAGTTGATTTTTAGGTTTGATGCATTCACATGTTTACAGTTGCCCATTCCAATTGATCACCTGCTTCTCATCACAGTTGTTGGTGAGTTTAGTTTTATTTATTTTTGAATTGATGTACTTACTACTATCTTTCTGCAGCAGCGGTATCACGATGTGGCATCTTCTACTTCAATTTAGAAATTTGAAAGCCAAATCACTTTTGTTTCTAGTATGATGAATCAAATAATTAAAGAAAAGGCGTTTTACCTTTGCTTAACACTCGAGATACTGTAGCCTGTCTTCCAGTTGCGTGGCCGATTCTGCTAAGACTTTTAGTTTTTTTTTTAATTTTTTTTCGGTAGGAATTGCCCAACAAATTATTCCTTGACCTTACT